AACGATAATCTATAATTATCAGGTATGACAAGACATTATACAGCAGCTGTCGTGCAGAAATTACTTGTATAAAAAATAATGAATAAACAAACAAACAATATTTTGGACCAAATTTCTATTTCAAAAAACAACGGCAGACATTATCTATTAACCAAGCTCTGTTCTTTACCTATAAATAAATTAAATAAAATTTTAGAGGATTGCAACACAATTTCATACTGCAGTCCTAAGTATGAAATCGTTCAAATTATAATGGCATATTGTTATTCTAAACTGTTTCCCAAAATTGATCACCCTGAAGATCATAAAAAACATTTTATCAAAATACAGTATGTCAATGAAGGTTTTGATTTTGTAAATATTGCCGGTATTTTTAACGACCATTCTGTTAAAGAACAAATTCCTGGATATTTTGATAATACTGAATTCCCTCCTATTTGTTATATTTACAAGAAATCTACCCGGAAATTTGTGTTTAATTATAGCCAAGTCTGTAAAGATGTAAATATCAGTGAAAATACACCTACGTCATGTAATTGTAGTAATTCCAAATACACTTATGGCCCCATTTTCCATGTTATAACAGGAGACCTTAACATCGTTCGCGACCGAGAGTTAAAAACATTCCTCAGTAAAGGACCTAAATATCGTCCCCCGTCAATTATTAATTGGAATGAGTGTCGTAATATCATCCACGACTCACTTCGTGCTTACTGTTTGAAATGGATAAAACGGGAAAAAGCTGACAAAAAATCTTTGGACTCTTTTTTTAATTCAGTAATGAAGATAGTTGATATACGTATACAACATTTTAAAGAACATTTTACTCTTAGCAACAACCATAAAAATCCTATTTCTCGTATCAAACATAAACTAAAAGAACTAGCCAAGGAATTTGTTTTTGTCCCGGCTGATAAAGCTGCTAATAATATCATTATAGTTTGACGTAAATTTTACATTGAGGTTCTGCAAAAGGAAATCATCAGTTCACCAACATTCCAACTGACTTCATTTTCAGAAACCGATATCTGTAACAAACATAAACTATTAGCTACTTCTTTACAAGCAGAACCAAATACAATTAAAGTCCCAACTATGTACTGGCTTCCGAAGCTACACAAATCACACCTTACAAATATAGATTTATTTCGTCTTCAAGCCATTGTTCCACTACTAAATTGTCTATTCTACTTACTAGTACACTTGGTTCAATCAAAAACCTGATAATAAATTGTTCAAATAACCTTTGAAAATAGTGGAATTAATTACTTTTGGAGTGTCAAAAACTCGTTGGAAGTACTTGATAAATTGCATGCATATATTGGTGATTTTGAATCTGTTCAAAGTTTTGATTTTTCTACCCTATATACCACTTTGCCTCATATTCTTATTAAGAAAAAATTCACACACCTAATTAAATGGGCATTTAAAAAGTCGGAATGCGAATACATATGTTCAAACTCTTTGAGGTCATTTTTTAGTAGCAACAAACAAAAGAGCTATGTCAATTGGACATGCTTTGATACGATATCTGCCCTTGAATTTTTACTTGATAACATTTTTGTTCGCTTTGGAGATTCCGTATATCGTCAAGTTATCGGAATTCCAATGGGGACTAACTGTGCACCACTTATTGCGGACCTGTTTTTGTATTGTTATGAGTTACAATTTATGACTAAAATCAGCAAAGACCCATCGAAACAACATCTAATAAAAAAATTTAACAATACTTTTAGATATTTGGATGATATATTGGCTCTCAATAATGACGACTTCAGTATGTATACTAAAGAAATTTATCCTGTTGAACTTACTTTAAATAAAGCTAATACTAACAATGACCACTGTCCTTTCCTCGATCTTGATATCTATATCATTAACGGGAAGCTTAATACAAAAATTTATGATAAAAGAGATGATTTTTCATTTCCTATCGTTAATTATCCATTTTTAGATGGTGACGTTCCCTTGTCACCATCTTATGGTGTTTATATATCTCAACTTGTACGATTCACTCGTGTATGTAACAACGTATTAGATTTTAGCGATAGAAATTTATGTATTACTGAAAAATTATTACACCAGGGTTTTCGATATCATAAACTAGTCAAAACATTTACCAAATTTTATCATCGGTATAAGGACATCATTCGTAAATATAACTCAACATGCAGACATCTTATACGTTCGGGTATTTCACATCCAATCTTTTATGGTAATATTCTTTACAGAGCACAAACATGTCAGTATTCACCTCAAAAGCTAACAAATTAACCTTTAAACAGACTTATTAAGAAGGGATATAGTTACGATACTGTTGTCAGGCCATTAAAGATTGCATATTTTGGCTTTAATATTGATTCACTTATAGGGTCTTTGCGTTGGAATTTAATACATTTATTTCAAAACCAGTTGTTGGCATGACACGAGTTATGTTCTTCTCATATATTTTATGACAGTATAATACTAAACCCCTAACAGGAGGGATTATGCCTGATATTCATATGATGAAGACATAATCTTTCAATCAGTTTAATTGAGGTCTGGAGCTGGCATGTCAGTAACTGCTAGAAGTCTGTTGTTATTTATGTATTATTGTCAGTTTGTTTATTTTCTTTTGTTTCCCATTCTGACATCGGACTCGGACTTCTCTTATAGTGAGTTTTACTGTGCGTACTGTTTGTTTTTTCTACATTGGCTAGAGGTATAGGGGGGAGGGTTGAGATCTCAAAAAAAATGTTTAACCCCGCCGCATTTTTGCGCCTGTCCCAAGTCAGGAGCCTCTAGCCTTTGTTAGTCTTGTATCATTTTTAATTTTAGTTTCCTGTGTATAATTTGGAGTTTAGTATGACGTCCATTATCACTGAACTAGTATACATATTTGTTTAGGGGCCAGCTGAAGGACGCCTCCGGGTGCGGGAGTTTCTCGCTGCATTGAAGACCCATTGGTGGCCTTCGGCTGTTGTCTGCTCTATGGTCGGGTTGTTGTCTCTTTGACACATTCCCCATTTCCATTCTCAATTTTAATAAATGTATAATTTGTTAATCAATATAGAAGATGAAAAAAAATACAAAATATTAAACGTTGAATCTCTTTGCGATTATTTTTATACATAGCTGAATTCTATTGACAGCTGTATGCTAGACTACACTGCGTAATATTATTGATGACTTGTGATTATAAACCATGTTATGCTCTACGAACATTTTCCCATGATGTGTAACACACTTTACTAATCTATAGTTTGTCCATTGTGATCGGCAGTTCATTTTCATACTTCCGCACTAACACGTAATAATTTTGAAGACAATTGCCGTTTAAAAAACTTTTACAATCGTTTAAAATTGTATAATGTGATAGTTTAACAAATTACTTTTTACTAAATTTAAACTTAAAAAACTTCGAATTTTCGAAATACTTAGGATTTCTACCCATAGAATAGATTATCTTAGCTGTATTTGGTAAAACATTTCGGAATTTCGGGTCCCCAATGTTCTTCTATTTCCGTACTTTATTTGGCATTTTTTTTACTTTTTTTTTATTCGCGCGTCACTGATGATTCTTCTGTAGAATTAACGCGCGTCTGGCGTTCAAATGTTTAATCCTGTTACCTATGATGATATCTATGATGATATCTCGAAAACCATAATTCACAACTTGGTTTAAATCGGCACGATTAAGAATCGATATACGATTTAAAATCGATATGTGATTGATTTTTTTTGTTTAACGCCACTTTAAGCCCTATTTGCTAATTTGTGGCGGCCAGTTATTATTGGTGAAGTGCCCAGAGAGAACCACCGACCTTCAGCAGGAAAACTGGCATCCATAGTCAATTAAAATTGGAGTCAAATGCACTTGCCAAGAGCGGAGTTATAACTCACAAACTCAGTGTTGACAAGCTAAACGTGATACAGTAAATGAATTACTTATACCACTCGGCCATTGAGGTCTAAGAAGATCGATATATGAATTAGATACTAGTAATAGTCAGTATTATAGATCAATGAAATTGTGGGATTTCGTGTTTCTTAATAGACCACTTTCGAGTTGCATTTCCGTCATAAACTTTGATTTTAGTGAACATCATTCGTGCTTTTAGGGGTATCGTCACTTCTTTCCCATGTTCAGCGAGCGGTTGAAAAAAATATGATGCTAAATTGCACGAATTATTCGGCAAATTAAATTTTTATAACTGATAATCAGCACTGCTGTCATTGAGGAATTGTGATTAAGTACCTACGGAACAAACATTATTTCTAGTTTATCCTGCATAATGACGATCATGAAGACGCTTGATGAATTTTAATAGTGCAGGGATACGGGCGGTCTCCTCTATCTGGCAAATGACGTCACAAAGGCGCGCATAGTTGACGAACTTTTCCGGTGAAGGACATAACACAAAAGTTGTCTATTGTGAAGAACGCATGTAAAACATGTTTTAGTAAGAAATTATCCTATTGTTCAGTCACAGTTCAAAATAATGTCTATAAATGAGTAACAACTGTCCTGAATCACAATGTATTAACTTGACAGAATAGCAAATTTGAATCTATTAATGTTTTTTAAAAATAATTTTTAAACAAACAAAACAAAGCAAGGTTGAAGTTAACGTGGATACAAATAATGTATAGGGGGAGGGGGGGGGGGGGATAGGAGGGGTCCTGATCCCGAAATCCCGGGCTTAAAAACATGGAATCCCGAGGTCCCGAATTTAAAAAAATTTAAATCCCGACATTCCCGGATCCTGAAAGGATCAATCCCGAAATCCCGAGCTTAAAAACACCTGATCCCGGAGTCCCCATAAAGGTCCTACACCCCCTCTGTATAGACTCCACTCACTTCAAAATGATTGAACATGAAACAATATACAAAAGAAAAAAAATCTCATAAATGGATTGATATAACCTTTACCCTAAATTTTCTAAATATTTCCGTATATATTATACAATTACACTGTGTAAAACCAACACGAAATCAGGGAAATATTAACAAAAAATATAAAAACGGAAATATAAACTTCCGCAAGGACAATTTTAAATAACTAATAATTTTATGTTGAATTCATTTCGTGATAACACAATCATTACAAACTCTTGCTGTAAGAAGAGATAACAAAGAGGTCAAATGTCTGGATATTCTTGGTTTAGTGAGACTAATCCCCTCCTTAGTCAGGTAAGTTTACTGGATATTCTTGGTTTAGTGAGACTAATCCCCTCCTTGGTCAGGTAAGTTTACTGGATATTCTTGGTTTAGCGAGACTAATCCCATCCTTCGTCATGTAAGTTTACGTATTGATAATTGCCAAATAATAATTTATTTACACGTTTATTATCCACATAACATATTTTGTTCATATACCCTGGATAGCAGCTACAAGTTAAATAATCAAATTAATCATTACATCCACTTCATTTGAACTTTGGTGGATAATTTTTACAATCAAAATATCTAAAAAGCTAATTTAATTAAAATATCTGTCATTTTTGTTGTGTTTGGCGTGATAAAGTAGAAATACATCTTTGATCATGTGTTTTTTAAAAGGAGAGCAGTCAGATTTTTCATAATCTAAGTTCAGCGACCTCTCCGGCAATGTTGACGCTTAAATGCACAATGTGATACTTTTCTCACTCTATTAAGGATGTGTTTACAGTTGGAAGTGAACTGATTGAAATCTGGGAAACATGGTTTATCTTTAACTGCAATGACTCCCAGTTTTTTAAATAGGTACTTTGTGACTTTCGTCTTTTTGTAAGTTGTGATGTTTTACTTTGTTTTGTCGGTAGAGTCAATGATTAGTGAGTTAATTACCAGAGTCTATAGTAAAGTTCAGATCGGTTGAGTCTATGATCAGTGTGGCAATTACCAGAGTTTATAGTAAAGTTCAGAGTCTATGATTAGTGTCTATTTACCGGAGAGATGTGGTATGATTGTCTATCTACCAGTGAGATGTGGTATGATTGTTTGGATCTATCTACCAGTGAGATGTTATATGATTGTCTCACTAACATTGAGATGTGGTATGATTGTCTGGATCTATCTACCAGTGAGATGTGATATGATTGTCTATCTACCAATGAGATGTGGTATGATGTCTATCTACCAATGAGATGTGATATGATTGTCTATCTTGCAATGAGATGTGGTATGATTGTCTCTCTAACATTGAGATGTGGTATGATTGTCTATCTACCAGTGAGATGTGGTATGATTGTCTGGATCTATCTACCAGTGAGATGTGATATGATTGTCTATCTACCAATGAGATGTGATATGATTGTCTATCTACCAATGAGATGTGGTATGATTGTCTATCTACCAGAGAGATGTGGTATGAGTGTCTATCTACCAGAGAGATGTGATATAATTGTCTATCTACCAATGAGATGTGTTTTGATTGTCTATCTACCAGAGAGATGTGGTATGTTTGTCTATTGACCAATGAGTTGTGCTATGATTGTCTATCTACCAGAGAGATGTGGTATGATTGTCTATCTACCAATGAGATGTGGTATGATTGTTTATCTACCAGAGAGATTTGGTATGATTGTCTGTCTACCAGTGAGATTAAGTGAATCAAATCAGTCTTGTACAAAAACGCCACAAAAATCACAAAAAAAATCAACAAAATAATGTTTTTACATCCTTTCTAGATCGTGTTCAGATCAAGCAACTCTTGTCAACATATATTTGTTCCGCCTGAGAGAAGTTCCCCTGGAACATATATATATAAACAATACCACATTGTCTGTTCCTTTTAGAACAAATACACTATACCCTTTATTCCGTAAGGAGCAATTTGAAATACTGGTCATTTCGAGTGGAAATAATATTACACAATAGTTCTGTTACTTGGAACTTATATAATGAGGGGACTTATATTTCATGTCACTATAACTGATGTCAGATGATTTTCACCACCGCCTTTTTAGATAACTTGGTATCTTACACTATAGTGTATTACTATGATTACATTTGTATTATACATGTACTGCAGCCCATAAAAAGAACACTATTGCAAGGTGTATTGTAATTGTACTTTTTTTACAGGAAATCAGAAGACGCAAGTTTCAATCAAAACAAATTGTGGCAGCCATCTCGTGTGTGATTTTGATTGTAACTTTCACAGTTGTAGCAGTTTATTTTGGAACAAGAAATGATAAAACAGTTGACCCAACTCCTCGGCCACGTCCACGGTAATGTTTAATTGCATTCGCTTTGAATATATCATTGACAATTTATATTGATTAAAACTTAACATACATGTATCAAGCTTGTAAACTCGTTCATTTTCAGGTACAAATTAAAGTACGTCGTATTTTCTATAGTCCGTAATTGACTAACAGTCTACTCACTGTTATGACGTCAGTCTATTCAATGCGTGTTTTTTTTTTCTAGAAGCAACGCTTCCTTAACCGTAACTGAATAGAGTCATCAAATTATACGCAATTGTTCCCTTTGTGTACTAAATTTCATTCAGTTTGATGTGTCTAATTTACCCCTTTCTGTTCACAACTGGAATTAGTTCAAAACTTACTTATGACTTTTGCAAAATTTAGTTGCCGTGACTGGGGTTCGATCTCCCGCTTTGAAGTAAATTATGTGTCACTGTTCAGCAACATATTGACGAAATTTCTCGGCTATTAATCGGATGATATTCAAACGTCGATTTTTCATGGATCAATATAATACTGTACAATATATACATATAGGGCCTGCGCATTCATATCTGAAAGAACAACTTTTGTATAGTGCAAGTTGATAGCCGCAAGGTTAGGTAGGATGAGTTGAAGAGTAAAAAAAAAGGATGAGTTGAAGAGTAAACGTTGAGAATAACACTAATGTCTTATAGACATAGTTCGAATTCTGTTTCGGGTTTCCCTTTTTTCTAATTTGTTTGAGTTGTTGATTTTTTAGCCATAAGAAAAAATCATTATTTGTTTTTATTTGATTACCATCGACCATTTTATGTAATTTATGGGATATTAGACCTTTTCAACAACTCTCGACACCGACTAATGACACCTACAGTTTACAGGTAAAATGGAGGGGTCGTCTCAAAATTAAAAAATTATTCATGAAATGTTTTACGTTCACAACTTCGATTTATCGATTTTGCAATATTTTGACGAAAGAACATATTCCAAACAAATATGAATTATTCCTTTCTCTTTTCTTAATATTGTATTTATACAACATTTTATGTTGAAATTATTAAACTAAATAAAGGAAATAGTTTATAATTACTTCACATTGTTATCTGCCTTTTTAAGTTTGTTTCTTGTTAAATTTCATGTGAGTATTTAGGGATCAGCCATTTAACTTTAAAGGGGGATGTTATGTTTTTATTTAGTTTTTAGACGCTATCTATCAAATTACTTTTTTCAAAATTTAACACTATATGGTAGGAGGAAATGCTGGATTCAGGATTTTTTTTCATCTGGTTGACCACAGTATTTTTTTTCTCATCAAATTAGGGATCAGAATATTTTGTAAGTTAAAAAATGGTCGTTCCTTTAAATAAGCGTGTCTGTCAACGCAGATTGTTCCAATAGCGATAAATTCGTTTTTGTAATGCTATTTATCAAATTTGAAGGAGGAACATGTTGTGTTGTTTCACCATTGTCCCAGGTTAGGGGAGGGTTGAGCGCTCACAAAAATATTCAACTCTGCCACATTCTTTATTTGCTTGTCCAATGTCAGGAGCCTATAGCTCAGTGGTTGTCGTTGGTTCGTGTCTGTCATATTTGTTTTTTCTTAAATTGTTTTGATATTGATTAGGCTTTTAGTTTTCTCAATTGAATTGTTTCATACTTTTGTAGCCGACTATACGGTATGGGTTTTTCTCATTGTTGAAGGCCTTACAGTTGCCTATAATTGCTTAGATTCACATCATTACAACTTTGGTGGATAGTTGTCTCATTGGCAATCATATCACATTTCCTGATTTTTATATTGTAACAGGACTTCACGTCACTTGTTGTACACATTCAGTTGTGGGAGGGGTAAACGCCTATTGGGGTAAAGATAAACGGAAATGGGTATATCGATAATTTAGAAACGTAGGACTACTCCGCTTCAAGATACCATGCTAAAGATGATGTGTTTCCTTAATGAATTGGAATCAGCTACGGCACCATTTTTTCAAGTCCGCGCCACATGCGCATTTTCACAAGTATTGTGTCTTCAGTGATGCGTAAGATATTTATATCTCAACAGAGCTTGTTGTCATTGCACTGTTTTTTTAACTGATTGGCCGTTATAGGTTGCCCGTGTCCCGAAAGGCAACATAACGTGTGCTTTTGTCGTAGATTCCTTTCCCTGCATGTTCCTGAAAAATGACCTTCGTGTGTTTCGCAAGAAGCGAAAACTGCTCATCCTGCCCCTTTTCAGGACATAGCTTTGGTTTTTCTACTCTTTTATCCTTTTTTCCCCCGCATAGTGGTTTATAAATTTCATTTCTGACCATACATAGGGGAGGTCTATATCCAATTATACCAGTATTGTCTGTTTTATATGTTGCACTGTGTGATTTTATTCCCTTCTGCGGAAGTCATAAGAATAGCAAGAAAACGGAAACAAAATATAACGATTTGAATCTGATACTGAATCAGAAGAGACACGAAGGGCCTTTCAAAATCTTGGTATCTATTCTGTTATGAATTTGTTGTACTGCAGCTGATTACCACGTGAAGTTCTTTAGGGCGAGGCAATTCATCAGCTTCCTCCCCTCTCTCTGGTCAGTTACGGCATCTGGTTGCCGGGGACCAGGTCTAGCAACGGCACAGAAAGCCGAATAATTTAAAAAGAAAGAGAAGAAATTAAAATTGCATTGTCGCTCATATCGATTTCACGTTGAACATTAAATTTGTGAATTAAAAAGAAATATAAAGTCATTAGTATCATTGAGGCATCCGATGCCAAGATGAACAGACATTGTAAAATCGTGTTACTTTGTACCGCCCTAGTCGACAGACATAAAACAATGATTAATTAAACAATCTACTACAAAATACAGGTCTGTTTTTTGTTTGTTTGTTGTTTTTTTTTCGTTTTCCGACTCGACGTCTAACAGAAATGAAACAATGAAGTCCTTCTTGTCTTCATAGTCAAGTCACAAATAAGTTTAATTTTGGTTAGCAAATACTTAATAAACAAAATAAGGTGCGGTATACAATAGATGCTTTTATACACGTTTTGTTGGATAGTTCTCATTGGCAATCAAAATAATCATATGCGATCTGTAGTAAATATCTTTTTTTAATTTCATTTTTGAGACGACCCTTCATATCTCACCTGTCGTAGTCGTTCTCAACTGTAGGTGTAGACAATTGTTGAAAAGGTCTATTAAAACATTACTTTTATGATGCTTCTGGCGATTTTATCTGTTTCATTGGATGTATTGACATATATTCGTAAAATAGCAACATGTTTAACTGGAAAATTGATTCAATTATGCTTTATTAACACATTTATGAATCGTATTCCTTTAACGCTCTTTTGAAAGTGGACCATAACGGATTTGGTTGTTGTGTGTAGGACCCCGTTTTAGTTTAATGCTTTAAAACGTTCTATATATTTGGCTTTCCAAACTTTTGGGCTCTAGTGTACCTGACGATGGCTATTCCGGCAACACATGAATTGCCTTCTGAAATCGGTATCATTAGTTTATTTTACATCTACATTTAAATATGGTTGATGATTTTGTGCCAACGTTTGGATAAGTTATCTAGGGGAAATGTTTTCATTAAGATCAACAGCATGCAAGCTAGAGAAAATTAAAACAATATGTATAAAAAGATATGTGGAGAATACGTTAATGAGACACCAACCCTCAACACAATAAAACAGATACATCTAGACCCGAGAAATAGTTAGTATATATGACAAGCTGATGATTTGCCCTCAGTCTAGACCCCAGAAATAGTTAGTATATATCACAAGCTGATGATTTGCCCTCAGTCTAGACCACAGAAATATGTTCAACGGCTACTACTATACCAACAATCATTCGTCTTTCGTAAGGGACAGTTGTTTTTTAAAGAATTGTTTAATTTCATATTTCTTGAAAAGAATAATATTTTTCAGAAGGGAAGATAAAAAAATAGTTTATTTCCAGTGGTGATTATAAGGAGAGGAGGATAATACGTTATTGAATCAAAACAAACTTGTTCCTGTATGTTATTTAAAAAACATAGTCTGTTTTATCTGAGAAAATGATAAAAAAATGTTTTTCTTGAGACAAAAGGCCCATACTCAAACATAAGATGAAGGGTTGGTGCCTAAACATCTGCAAACAGTACCAAAAACCTGTAAAGGATTCATCAGTTATCTGTCCATTGTCTAGTGGTAAACATTGCATGCATATTCTGGTAAATCAATAACGTAAGTTCTGCAGAGTGCGTTGACCGGAAAGGTGGAAAATGTTAACCGCCTCTGGAAATAGAGAGTGTGTTGGGTAGGCATTCGTCTTGCAATATGTCACATTAGGACCCTTCGAAGTGTCAAATTAAGGGTTCTTTAAAGCATACCAAGTGTGAAAGTCTCCCATCACGAAGTATCGGATTTAACATCCCTATTTCCGAATGGACGCGGCAAACGGACTTTTCAAGGGTCTTACTGCCGCGGGAGTGAGGTCTTACTAACTATAACTTTAACCAGTCCACCCTTATGTTATAAAGATACATTTAAAATTCATCACTTAGTATATATGATCATATTGCATTTGGTTTCAAGAAGATAAATGTAGTTGGTGAGCTTTAGATTAACAAGGTTCCAATATGACAGACATTCCACAAAGAAGTGCTATTTAGCCAGCAAACACAAATGTCTAAACATTAAGATAAAAGAATAAAGAAAGGATTCCGAAGCACTTTTCCTCATATCCTTTTATATACTAAGACAGTTTGTATGCGATACAAAATTTGACATATTGTATAGACATACTGAATTCATTTGAGGAATCATCAACATGTTTATTTAATATTTTATAGACTTCCTAGTTATGACCTACAGAAAGATCATTCAGATATAATATCAATGTTTAGTGGAGCGAGAAAAAGACACTACAAAAAGATATGGACAGTTTTAGATAAAAAGCCGTACCTAATCAACGTTATTCCCATACATGAATCGTTCGCGCTTCTTCACTACGCCACACTACAAAATAATTCTATGGCTGTCCACAAACTCGTCAACTATACGTCATGTGATGTAAAGGTAAAGAGTGTTCCGAATGCTAAGAACAAACACCAAGGAGGACAAATACCAGAACAGTTGGCACTAAATAAGAATATAAAAAAGTTTCTGCATAATTTCACTGAAAAAATGATGCAAAAACGATTCGGATCAAAACCAGTTTTCTTTACAACAAAATCAAAGGGAGAGAAATTTACCAAATATGGACCTCCTTTATTACTATTAACACTGAGTACCTTCAAGAGAACGTTTTTAGGAGAGGAAAATATTAGTCCTACATTTACAAGTCTTCTCAATTCCACTTTCCAAAGTACATCTTATAACTTAAATAATGTGTCCAATATAATACTGGTCAATCTCTATGATTTGGATAACGGTACTGCAGACTTACTGAATGTGACGTCAAAGACAGGTTTCTTTGCAAATATAGTGAAATTATATACAAGTCGAACGCTATACGTAAATGTAAATAGAGCACTTAAACGCGAAGCCCTGTTCGATTATAAAACTTACAGACCTCGAAGCAATGCACTTCGTTTTGGTCCATATGCACTCATGCTTCAAGCAGTCCTAATGTACTGGACGGACTTAAAGCCATACGATGGAATGACTTATCGGGGATTTAAAGTCAATATAACGCATCCGTATCACGTGAAAACGACGTTTGTGTATTTGAATTTTATGGTAACAACAAATAATGAAACACGCGCTGTAGAATATGCTGGGGTACATGGTAGTATTTTTGTTATCAGTAACAACCGTCATTGCCAGTTACAGCCACGTGACATAACAAGATATTCCTACTACCCAAACGACCGGAAATATCTGTATCCATCTGGTGCCGAGTTTGTTGTGACCGCTAACGACGGCCGTCATATAAACTTATCTTGTATTTAAACATTTTCAAAAGTATAAATTCAAACAACATGTTTGAATGCAAGTTTTTTTTTTCCTTTTTTTATGTAAAGGAGAATTCGTGCTTTGAAATATTTCAGTAAAATATTATTTAAACAACAATTAGTGCTCCCCGATTAGCACATTTACCTGCTATACCGTCCTATCTTTAACTTCAAAAATCCTTTTTTACACAAACACCCTACCCCACCCTCTTATTTCTTTCCACTACCATCAAAAATAGGACACTGTACTTGTTTGATAGAAGATAAGATAGGTATATACCGTTTCAAAAAATTGTTAAAGCTATTTTTGAATATCTACTTCTTTAGTCTTTAGAATCTAGTGAAATGTAAAAGACAATGGGTTTTTTTTTCAAGAAATTATTTCAACAAACGCAAGGTAAAACTTGTTGATGTCTTTAGAGAAAATTGCATTTTTCAATCTTATTCCGATGCTATCATATCATTTCATCTCAAAATACACCAGTTAGTAAATTATTTTGAAATAAAACCGATCTAACATTTCAAGATCCTTAGTTGATCGTTTTGAAATCGTCTACTTCACATTGTTTTGTTACTATTCTATCTCACAAATATAAACTGCAGGATAACGAAGAACGAGCAGAAAATAGCCCAAGGCCACCAATAGGTCTTCAACACAGCGTGAAAATCCCGCACCCGGAGGCGGGCTTCAGTTGGCCCCTAAACAAAAATGTGTACTTCTTCATCGAAAATGGACGTCACAATAAACTCCGAAACATATAAATGAACCAAAATTTTAAAAACATACAAGACTAACAAAGGCCAGAGGCTCCTGACTTTGGACAGGTGCAAAAATGCGGCGAAATTAAACATGTTTTGTGATATCTCAACCCTCCCCTATACCTCTAGCCAAACACACAGCAATACGCACAGTAAAACTCAGTTTAAAAGAAGTACTCCGAGTTAGAATAGTTAACAGAAGAAAGTAAGCAAAAGGACAATGATACATTAATTAACAAAGGACTACTAGCAGTTACTGACATGCCAGCTCCAGACCTTAATTAAACTGATTGTAAGATTATGTCTTCATCATATGAAAATCAAGCACAATCCCTCCCGTTAGGGGTTTAGTATCATACCATCATGAAATATACGAGAAGAACATAACCCGTATCATGCCAACAAAAAGTCGACTTTTAAAAATGAAAAATTAATATATGTTATACAAAATACATAACAAGCATGGACCATTGTCAAATTGATTTTAAAATGTAGAGATTAAAACAAAACATTAATAAAAGATGTGTAGTTAAACATGGGTGCAATTTAGATACTCCCCATTACAGAATCGTGGATCGTTTGGAGGTTGTTTCAAACTCATTTTTCTATGATTCAGAATGGATTCAAAATCAGATTTGTGGAACTACTAGTATATAGTAATAAGGACACATCTGCAAAATAAATACGTACGGAATGGAAACTTTTGCATCTCCCTTATTTACAATGTGTTGACATTGATATGGTCAGCTAAAACAGATTTTTACCAATTGCGTCATAAGTGATGTATTTGTGACGACTTAAATGTGGGAGAATTTCGTGATTTTTCTGAACAAATAACAGTGGCGCCACCCTTCGCCCACAAATATTTTTGCTGATATATTCTTTATATACCATATTCTTTATTTTTCAACTAAATTTTCAATGGGCGAAGATTAGCGCCACATAAAAAATTATGAAAAAAGGTCGAAAAAATGGACAAATTTCTAGAAAAATAGACGAAAATTCCTATTTCAGACTAATATTATTTATAAATATGAAGCAGATATACTATTTTTCTTATTATACTTTCAAATATGATACATTTAGCAACAAATTCAAATAAGCATTACTAAAATAATTCAAGTTAAAAAAAAAATTTAATACAGGGCCGTTTAGAGGGGTTTCTCGCTCTACTCCTATATACTCCGCGTATATCATGTTAAATATCATACAACTACTTAGTAATTTGAAAAGAAACATTATGGTTCAAGATTTGTCTGCTAAAGAAAAGACGATCATTATACCCAATCCATTAATACCATCACAAGTAAATAAATTGAGGTCTTGCATGATAAGTCAATAACACTGAGAAAGGGGGACTCTGGACTATGTATATTATGTGTGTGTGTGAATTTTCATTTATATTATGTACTTATTTTGTACTTGTCACAAACTTACTGTTTAAAGTTATATTACAAAAGCATGTAAATTTTAATTCGATTATAATTTATTTTTGTACTTTAAATAAAATTTCATTTAGTTTTTCATATAGGTATATTCCAACGAAATATTCCTAATTTGCGTGTTATCTCAATTTGCAACGGTTGCCTTTATATATGAACTAGAACACACCCGCGACATCACGGTTCCGTGACTGAATTAAATGCCTACGCTTTATTTTCAGTCTGCGACTCATTTCACAGAAAAACTTACGAGAAAAAATTCTCGTAAGTCATGAACAATTCAGTATAACTTACGATCAATTTTTATCGTAAGAATTTTTGTGAAAAGAGCCCCTAGATTTTTAGTATTCGTAATTGTCATTTGATAAAGTCATGCTGATTATAAGGTGCACAGTTTTCTCTGCTTTCAAAATCTTTCTGTTTGAATCCGTCCTGGTTTTCTTACTACAACTGGAAACTACTTGTAGATATATTTTTTTTGTCAATGATTGAATTTATTAGTGTCAATCCCTGTATAATGAAGAAGTGCGGGTGTGATATAGCAAATCCCAAATACATCGTTTGGTGGAGCGCCTGACACAGGCGGAACGTACAATTTAAGTAACAGGTAACATGTGACATATACTATTGGTATCGGTATCGGTTTCGATCCGGAATATCAATTATGCGGAAAACAAAAGGGCCTGGAATGGTGTAATTTTTAATCAACACCATTGTCCTGTATTAGCTATATATAAAGTTGAATTCTTTGATTCGTCGTTTTTACGTCATGCATGCAACCAAATTGGTCCTCGTTATTTTAGTAGTGCTGAATTATTTGATATAATTTGTTTAAGTATGACGACTGAGATTTGTTAATATATACACATTTTACACAGATAACAGAATTGGAAAACATTTTAATTTCATTTGACGAAATGTATTGCATTGAAAATTAAAAAAAAAAACATGTTTTACGAATGACTTCAAAATAAATGGTTCATATGATGTAAAACGGTAGAAAAAAGGCGAATAAATGTTTACAATTGAAAAAAAACAAACCTCATGCACGTGGACAAACATTGATCATACATGGGGAATTTTGAATATTTAAGAGTTCTTTGAATGTTATCAATAATTTCAGGCATAGTATAGTGAAAAGAATATATTCAGCAATTTTGAAAAATTTACATGCTTTTGTAAACTTTTCACCATTAGAGATTTAAGATAGGAATTGATGCGTATCTCAAAGACAAAACAAAAGTTGACGTCCACTTGATTTTTGGTTTAAGTTAATGTTGGTGGAATTCTGTAATGATTGAAAAAGAAATTGAAAATGGCTCTAGTGTGGAATAAATTGAGTGGAATTCTGCTCTACTTCTTTTAAAGATAAAATGTCACATATAACAATACCTAATAATAAAACACTCACTTACAGAATAACATAAAGACGAAAAGGGTATATCAGCTTTAATAATCACTGGTAGGAAGGTCAGTTCGAGTAATGAAATGCCTCCATTAGTCGGACCATAATTATCCGTAGAAACATTGAAAAGTTCTTGATAGTCAAAACTGTAAACAAATAATGAAAAGCACCCTCTTAAACTCTTCTTCAAATAAGAATTAAAAATAACATGTACAAGGATGAATTATGAATGTATTCTTGATGCAGATTACATCCTACTTGAAGCCTTGTATCTGTTTCGTATCATTCAATCAAATTATTAATATATAGAGATGCCATAAAGCTGTTGAAAAATGAAGAGGAGGGACATTCCAAACCGAAACCAAACTTCTAAAACGGTCTTGATATGTGTTGTCGTTCCAATACTTACTGATTAGGAAGTCTTTCATTGCAAAATTTTAAACCAAAAAAAAGAAAGAACGAAATTTCAACAGTAATGTGAACAGGAATACAGTTTGACTGTTTGAAGGCTGGAAAGTATTTATTTAGACTATTAGTTATCAAATTCCAATAAGTTCAAACAGCTTTCCAACTTGTTCTCTGTGAATGGAAACACGGGTCCCTTTTTAATACATTATTACAAACAAAATATGGTAAAATACATACACTTTCGTGAAATTCTTTTATTTATAATAATATTGCTAATATTTTGTTAATATTAGTTTGATAAACAAACAATTTTGATTTTTTTACACAGTCTGAGAGTTTCTGAGTGAGGAAAACAGAGTTTGCGTATTTTAACTATATTGTCTTCTGAATAATTATTTTGAGACATATATTCTTAAACTTCATACATGTACGATACTGCGAATTCTGGTAATGGAAGGATTTTTAGAAAAGGGCTTTGCTGTCGAATAAATTGGCCCTATCCTTTTTATTTTTGATTCAGACACGTTTGATTATATTAGTTTATTTCATTATAAAGAAAAACAGTGTATTTCTTTTATTATGTGTTTTTTTTAGTAATCATCTAGTACAATCCAGGATCCTCCTACCACAAATCTGGATATTCCAATTTCTACTGGTAGATATTGGAATTCCGATGTGTACTAGGAGGATTCTGGATCATACTAAATTCCAATTTGTACTGTAACAGTATCATAATACATACACTGTTTTTAAAGTAAATCTCTTATATTGTTTAAACCGCGAGGAAATTTTCTCGTATCCTATATGCCTACTGGCTTCCTGTTCTCTAATTTACAGTCAGTTTTTCCGTATGCACTGACCTTAACATAAACCCTCAGGTGAAATTCTGCCATAGCACAGCGCAAGTGCAAAGAGAGAAAAAAGTAAACAAACGTGGAAAGAAGGAAGACGTATTAACCGATTCTGAAAGAAAACGTTTAATACATTAAATCATTTAACAACTGTTAGTTACTTACACCTGACAAAGTTTAGTCAACAAAAAGGAACGCAAAGAAAAATAAAAAAAAACACAACATTAATTATATACACATCGCTCTATCATCGAAAGTAAATATTACTTATAATACACAAGCTTACCTTTTTGTTTATTAGGGCACATCGTTATATTTCAGCCTCAAACCAAAAGTCAATTAGCCACCTTTTTTCTACCAACTCACTGAACGAATTATTATTTAGTCGATTATACGATATGACTTCCTAATAAAAGGTAAACACGTGCACAGAGGACTTAGAAACCTTAGAATATATGCATGCATTGGTTCAAAAACTATAACTAGTAGTTACTTCTCCATATACATCCAATATTCATCATTACATTTTAGTTTTCCGCAATACAACATCATGAAAGACAATCGGGACATACAGTACATGGTAAATGAAGCTAAAAGGAACAGATTTCAACGAATATGGACGATTTTAGACGAGAAACCATACCTCATAAATGTAATACCGGAAAATGAATCTTACTCGTTGCTTCACTTTGCGACACTACTAAACAATACCGATGCCGTGTATAAACTTTCAAACTATACATCATGCGACGTTCTGGTAAAGAGTGCACCAATTGTAACAAGGAAAAACGCAGGAGACAAAACACCAGAACAACTCGCTAAGAATAATGTCATCAAAGTATATCTTCATACTTTTACAGAAAAGCGTATGCAGGAACGTTTCGGTAACACACCCGTTTTCTTTACAACTCAAGCAAAAGGTGAGAAATACAATGCATTAGGACTTCCATTAATGTTGCTTACAATGAGTTCATACAAGAAAGCATTCTTTGGAAACACGTCTTTATCTCCATCTGGTCAGTTTCAAGCTCTTCTTAATTATACATTTCAAAGCTCAACAGTTCGTCTGAAAAATGTCGAGAATGAAGTCATTAATTCACTTTATGGATTCGACGCCAATAGTGCCAAAGTGCTTCAAGTTAATTCAACAGTGCTCTTCTATGGAAAGATAATAAAGCTATATACAGGAAATTATGTGTATATGGCAATAAACAAAGCGCTGAAGCGTGAAGCTTTGTTTGATTATAGTACCTACAGGCCTCGAAGTAGCGCACTCCATTTTGGACCGTATGCACTCATGCTTGACTCAGTTCTGACATTTTGGAATGAACTTATACCATATAATGAAAATACATATAGGGGCGTTTCCGTGAATATTTCAATTCATTATGAAGTGAACATGACGTTTGTGTACCTAGATTTTGTTTCGACCACAGACAATAAGCAAATTGCTGAAAGCTTTGCAGGGTCATACGGAAGTGTGCTTGTTATAAACAATACGCATCTATGTGCTTGGCAACCACGTGATATTGCTAAATACTCCGAATTCCCACACGAGCGTGAATATTTGTACCCCTCTGGAGCTGAGTTTCTAGTAACCGCTATGGATGGACGCCATATTTTTCTCGAACTGGTAAACCCCTCATTATAAAAATAAAGAGATGTGGTGTGATTGCCAATGAGACAACTATCCACCAGATAAATCTTTACTGGTAAACCCATAATTATACTTCAACTAAATGAATAAAGCTATATCTTTCGATATAATAATTTCACATCTACATCTACCCTGAATTAGTTTGCCAATTATTTGCTTAATACTTCGCATGGAAGAGAAATTTGTTCTATGAAATGTCAACAGAATGATGCACGAAAAAGAGCTGTGTATGAACTCAAGATTTTACTGGAATTCGTTTGCAACCTTAATTTTGAATGGACATCATCATCGATTGTTATGGAAGGAGAAAAAGTATCACATGTCTTTGACAAACCTTAGATATATATTTTAGAACTATTTATCATGGGTCATGGAATATAAACGAAGGTTGCAAATCATTTAAGCAAAGTATACCCCAGACGGTAATGGCTTTTATATTTCGACCTTCTACTTTGATCCTTACGACCGTTTTATGCATTTAGATTTCAAAACTTTTTTTATTAGTTTCAAGCGAACTTGTAGTTTATGTTCATCTTAAATAACGCTTAAAATGTGAGGAGAGCATACGCATACACATATATTGATTGAATGATTGGCGTTTAATGCCACTTTCAGCACTGTTGGCTATTTCGTGGCAGCCAGTTTTTAATGGTGGAGGAAGCTGGTGTGCCCGGAGAGAACCGCCGACATCAGGAAAACTGACAATGCTAGTCAAGTAAGATCGAACGCACCTGCCACGTGCGGGTCTCGAACCAAAAACCTT